AACCAGCCCCTTCGTCCTATATTGGATATTGATGCAAGGCAAAAACCATATCCTACAAATCCAGAACTTCCTTCTTTAGATGGCGAAAAAATTACTCACGAAGATTTGATGTCTAGAATATTAATTGCCTGTGCAGATGCATTGTATCTTATACCGGGATGTATGGTTTCATTAAATAATTTTGCTTTAGCTAGTTCATCAAATATTGATAAATGTAGCTGGCATATTATTTACCCTTATGCACGATTTATTGATTATAGAGATCTCAAAGGCTTTACGGAAAAAGTCATTGAATTGGTAGGAAAACCTTACTCGAAGTTTATTGATGTTGGCCTTCCCAAGTCACGTTTTAGTCTTCGACTTCTTGGATCAGCAAAAGAAGGCAGAGTTAAAAGACCTGCGATCTCTTCAGCTAAAAATAGATTTCACAAGTTAGAAGATTATTTGGTTCAGCCTAAAGCGAATTGTTCTGTAATCTGGCCACGAACCTTTTCTTCTGAGAAGTCCGCAGAGGAAAAATTCCAACCTATCGAAGATGAAGATGCTTTAGTTACAGGATCTAATTTGGTTATTGCAAAATATGAATGGCTTGAGATCGGAAAAATTGGAAAAGGATTAATTAACTTTCGAGCGCAATTACCTAAAGAATGTCCTATTTGTGAAGTTAGACATGAAAGGGATCAATTATACGGATTTCTTCTAAAAGATGGGCGTTTTATACTCAAATGTTTTCAGCAAAAACAATATAAGCCAGATCACAAGGGATTGATATTTGGCGAAGTAACTAATAATCTACCAAGACCTAAATGGAGATTAAGTGAAAGAATAATCAATATCGTAAAGCATCCATGCCCACTTGTAGATTTATCCGGAAAAAATATTAATGTTAAAGAGATGGAAGATGCACCAGAAGCTTATCCGGATTTCTCGAGTGAGGAACCCACTACAACCTTAATTCGTTCACCCGTTGCTACAGGGAAAACAAAAACTTTAAGAGAGATTCTTAATTCTTTAGCCAAAAGCGAAGCGAATTTACCTTGCTTTAACTGGATTTCATATCGTAAAACTCTTAGCAATGAGACTAAAGCTAAAGTTGAAATATTACAAAATTCAGGACTTCGCGTATGCCATTATCAGGAAAATGGCGGTGATTTAGCTATACATGACTGGGATGTTATCATCGTCCAGGTCGAAAGTACACATCGTCTTTCTCTTTATGGAGGTCGTTCTTATGTAGTTATCTTAGATGAAGTGAACGCTATCATGTGTCAAATGTCCAGTGGGATCCATGCCCGAGAATCAGAAAATGCTATGCGTGATTTGTTGAAGTTTGCTGTTCACATTGTGGCAATGGATGCTTTTGGAAACGAGTCAACATTAGCCTTTCTCAAAGCTTATCGAGGTAAAAATATACGAATTTTTGATAACAAATATCAACCACGCATAGATGAGACTGTTAAAATTCTCTATGACCCAGATAAAGGTTCAGAAGCTATGCGTAATGGTCTTAGGATGATTCAAGAAGGTAAGCGTGTTGCTTTTGTTATGACAAGCTGTAAAAAATCTCGAGCTTTAGCTAATCAAGCATCTAAGTTGCAAAAACCTGACGGTTCACCTATCTTGACATGTGTTTATTTTGGTCAAATGGATGGAAAACAACGTCAAGAGGATTTTGCTGATATTAATGCAACCTGGAGTGGTCTTGATTGCGTAATTTATACAAGCACTGTGGAAGCTGGTATCTCCTTTGAAATTTCTAATCATTTCGATGCAATAATAGCAATTAGTAATATCAATACAGGAGTTCATGTTGAAGCTTTTGCACAAATGCTTTATCGAATTCGTGATTGTCCATATTGTGCTATCTCTCTTTACAATAGCAAAAAACCTGGCATTTTTAAAGAACCAAATCGTGACCTTATTCATGCAGAACTTTCAGCCTTAAGACCTGGGGATTTACCAACAGCAGTAAAAGGACATCGTGAATGGAATAAAATTTCTGATTGCTATGGACTTGATTCATCTCCAGCAGTAGAGACTTATATAGAGGTTGAATATCAGAGACGTTTATCAGTTAAATACTTTCCGGAAATTCTTTGTAGTCTTATTGCTAGTACCGGAGCATCTCTTGAGTTAATTACAATAGAAGAGATCAGCTTGGCAAAAGTTACTCATGTAGAAGTATCTAATACAATCAAGAAAGTTGCAAAAAAATCGAAGTTGCTGATACTGAATTAATAGCTAATTCCCCAGATATTAGTCCCAATGAAGCTGAAATGCTTAAGCTAAATCCTATACGTTCTTTTACTGATAATATGATTCTACAACGGCATTATTTATGGAAAATTTATGCTTCAGGTGACATAGGAGGTAAGAATGATTCTCGAGATTGGGGCATGGATAATGCTGATTGGGTTAAACTCTGTGATATAGATTTTGTAAAAATATTCAACAATTCCGAACCTTTACAACATTTTAGAAGACTTGCCTATTTCCGAAGACAAGGTTCTAATACGATAAAAGCTTTGGAAAATTTAAAATTCAAAGAAACCATACAATGGGAGGAATCACAAGATTCTTTGGATCTGGCCTCAAATGATTTGCATAAATATTATTCAGTAAAACAATGGGAAGCTGTTCATAACCTTTTCCAATCATTGGGTTTTACTGGCATAGATGATGAGCACATTCTCTCAGGCGATGATGTGGCAAAAGCATTCGAAGAATTGCAGGAAAAAATCATTAAAATTCGACAAGATGCATTATTACTCTTCGGATTTAAATCTCGGGCCAAAGGAACACCTGATCTCAATGCTACAATAAAATTCATCAATGCGGTAGTGGGTAATTGGTGCGGTTATGCTATCAAGAGTAAACGAAAAAGAGAAGGACCTAAGGGTCAACAAGTATGGAAACAAATTTATTGGATTGACCGCAAACCATATAGTGGAACTGGTTTTAATAAAGCGAGAGCTCCGATTCTTCCACCATATAAACCAGAATCAGTCAATGAAATTCAAGAACTCTTTGATTCGATACCTATTACCGATACTAACTCAAAATTTACCGATTAATTCAATGCGTACCTCTGGCAGGGGGTATATTTTACATTCAACTAATCATTTATCTCAGGTAAGGGGAATTTTGTTGTCTCTTACAATAAGTGCGGAAAAAAATTCAAATCGAAAATTATTACGCAAAAGTATGATCCAAAGTAATACGTAAAAGTATGATCCAATTTTTTTAACCCAGTAATACGCAAAAGTGTAAACAATTTTTTCGATATAGTAATACACAAAGGTATACGTAAAAGTGTGATCTGATTTTTCGATTGTAATACATAAAGGTAATACGCAAAAGTGTGACAAATTTTCGATTCAGTAATACGTAAAAAGGTAGTACGTCAAAGTATAGACCATTTTTTTGACATGGAAAGGTAATACCTAAAAGTACCAACTATGCAAGAAAGTGTTCCAGGACCGCAAAACATGGAACACTTTCGGTAATACGCAAAGGTAGAATAATATAAGGAAGAGATAAAGAAAATTTGTGCTTTTACGTATTACCAAGAAAAATTCGAAGAAAAAAGGTAATACGCAAAGGTAGAATATAATATAAGGAAAAAGGTAAGAAAATTGTGCTTTTACGTATTACCAAGTGAGATAACAATTCGGCACTACGTACCTCACCCTCGATCGGCAACCTTATGCAACGTACAAAGCCAAAATACAGATTGCCAATTCGGCACTTCGTGCCTCATCCTTGCAATCGAAAAAATTGGCAATTCGCCTGGGAAATGTATTGTTTATAGAGATATAAGAAATATATATTTTATGAATTAGTTTTTTCGGTCCAAAGTAGGGGATAGAGGTTCTATTTATACGTTTTTGTAGTAATTTATTAGACTACTAGTACTTGATTATGAAATAGACTATTTTGTACTCATAAAAATCGGTGATACGCAAAAGTAAGATTTAAAATTTTTGATATGGTGATACGCAGTGTTGGAAATTCAGGGTGCGCAGGGTGCGCGCGCAGCATGTTACACCAAAATTGTGAAACATTTTATGTGCAA